ATACATATCAAACACACTAATGATTGTTCTCAGTGTATTTATTAACCCATCCTTTCTTTTACTTCTCTTGCTACCCCCTCTGATTGTTGTCCTTATCCAGCTCTTGGGGGCCCTCTTCCTGTACCCACCCCTTACATGCTGGAAACTAATGGTTTCACCCTGAGCCTGCCCCTTCTCATTCTGCATGCTCTCCTAGGGACCTTGCTCACTCGGCTTCATGTACCATGTATGCTGGTAACTGTGGAATTCCTATCTTCTGCCTGGTCCTGTCTCCTGTCCTCCAGACCAGTATCATACATCAACTGGTCTTTGGCCATTTTACCTGCATCTCTCAGAGTCACCTGAAACTCAACATGTCCACAACAGAAGTTATCATTTTCACAAAACCTACTTCCTCTTCTTATGTTTTTCAACACAACACATGGTAAAGCTCTTAATGCAGCTGCCCAAAATAGGGATCTGGGCTTTACTTTTATTTCCTTCCCTCCTCTATGCTCCCAGCCAATATCAAATCCACTCGGTTCTCCCCATCTCTACTGTCTATCCCTGGTCATCTTGTATCTGGATGACTGTAATAACCTCCCTTTTCCACTCCTGCCCCACTCAAAACCTCTCTCCACCTTTTAAAAACACGCTTTTAATCCCTACATAAACACTTTCATTGACTCCCACTGCACTTAACTCCAGAATCCTTAACATGACATATACAACACAGTGTGATCTGGCTTTTAGCCATCTCTTTAGCTTCAAATCACGTCATTCTCCCAGCTCCATGCAACCCAGCTATAATATTGGACTATTTCATTCCCTGAAATAATCTTGCTCTCTCCATCTACTGGGTTTATCTTAGGCCAATGCCATAAAACTCATTTCTTCAAGACTCATCCAGGCTAGGTTAGGTTTTCCTGTCTTCTAAGAATACCTTCCTTACTGGTCCAAGGTCCCCAAAGTGCAGGAACCCAATCTGTTTTGTTCACTGGTATTTTCTAGCTCCCTGCATAGTACCAAAACATAGCAGACATTTTAAAAAATGTACTATCACTGACTGATTAGCAACAAGTCCTTCTGGCTCCACTTTCTGGTCAGCTCTTAGAAACACCATTTACTTCTTCAGGCTATCAATGTCATCTCTTTCTAGATTATGACAATAGCCTCCTAACAGATCTCCCCAAATATATTTCTCTATTCTCTTCATGCTGTAGCCAGATGACCTTTCTAAAATGTAGTTCTGATCATCTCAGCCTCTATGCCTTTAGGATAAAATCTAAACAGTGAGCACAAATTTTAAGTTCTTTCATGTTATGGCCCATGCTTTCTCGAAACCCTGACTCATCTCTCATCCCCCTGCCTCATATATAATCTATACTTTCCCCTAGCTGGGTCTTCACACTTCCTGTGTTCTCAACCCCTGACCTCCCCCTCCCCACCCCACCACCACCACCACTGCAAAACTAATAACTGACTTCCTTCAGGGAGTCTTCCCTGGTAATGTTCCTAACTGTGCTGGCCATCCCACTTTGTGTACTGTGACCAAGGCGACTAAATATACCCCTTAGCCAGGACAGTACTGCTTTACATCTGCTGATCTGTCTGGCTTATTTACTAATAGCTCCTCCTTTCACTCTTAAGGCATACTGGTTTGGAGAGTAAAGTACCTGGTCTCTCTAACAATAACTATTAACTGTTTGTCCATTTACTTACTTCTTCCCTAGACGAGGTAAAAAATTATCCGTTTCATTTACAACAGCTTCAGGCAGTGCCTGGCACCCAGAAAACAATGTATGTTTATTAAATGTACATTGTACTACTGTACTTACATACTGTAAAGGCATGCACTTTCATTAGGATATTTATTTGGTTCCATGGTTTGCTAGTGAGAACCAAAGTGGTGCCCCCGCCCAACCAATTTAAAGGTTATGTATTTCACCAAATAGTTCATATATTTTGGAGAGATTTTGAGATTTACAAAGCCTAACTCCAAAATATATACATCATCCTCTACATAAGCAAGCACTATTACCTCGACATTAGCTCCAGCTACTTTCCCATTGGTGCTCTCACATTTGTAAGTAGCCAGACATGTGCCCTCACTCACCCTCGTAGGCAGTAGCATATATTCACCAAAGAGTAGAAGGCCAGTGAGGGCTACAGTCAGCCCCCAGGGAATTGGTTCTCTTTCTATGAAGCAAAAGGTCCATTTACCAACCAACCCAAGCCTCATATGCAAACTCTGTTTTTCACAAAGCACTTTCCTAAAGATACTCACATCAGATAGCATTGGTTCATCAAGTTCTTCCACTCTGCTCAATTTAGGTGCCCCATATCGATCACTAATTTCAGCTAGTGTTTTGCCTGAGTTTGCATCCTACAATTGTAAAATTCATTTTTACTTTTAAATAACTGCAAAATTTATAGATAAATTTTCTTTCAATCTGATACATTTCTGAATTTCAACATCAAAATACAATATTGCTAATTAATGGACTATACCAATAGCTGTTAATTATGGGAATTTTAGGAATAAATGCTAAAATAATTTTTAAATACATTCAGAAATTTTAAAAATACTGTAATCAACATGTGGTCAATATCTTACAACATTCTAGTTTTTGAAAATATAAACTCAAACAGAATGCCCAATTTTTATCCACTTTGAAATTTTAAAGCACATCATATTTAAACTTGACTTGTTATTACTAGAATTTATATTTGGACTATCAATTTTTATAATCTCCTTATTAAAAATTTAGCTACTAATGCATCAAAATTAAGCTTTGTGTTCCAGGATATTCATTCATTTCAGATAATATAACTTTTTCTTTTCACCTCTGAATGTAAAGTATCTTTACCTTTAGCTATATTTTCTATATTCACTCTCATCTTCTATAATATATAAAAATGAAGAAAAATACTTTATGAATAACTTTTCATTTTGATTCCATGTTTAATTTTCAAGCATTTTTATGTTTATGTAATGCTATGATCCATTTAACAACAAAAATACTACAGGATAGGGAAAATATTCAGTAAGACTGTAATATCTTTGTATGTTGACAGATGGTAAACACACTTATGGTGAGCATTTAGTGATGTAAATAATTGTTGAATAACTGTGTTGCACATCTGAAACCAATATAATATTGTATATCAACTATACTTAAAATAAACAGCAGAAATTTCATATTTAAACTGAATACACTTAATACAAAACTGCATATTGCAGTCTCATTTACTACTCAACACTAATAGAAAGTGATCACATTTTGTTTATAATTCAATCCAATTTTTAAAAAAATGGAATAGTCTGAAATATTAAACCTGCAGTCAAATTATTAGCAAATGTGAAAATGAAAGAATGAAAATTTTAACAAATTCTTAAAATAAGAGATTTTAAAGAGAATTTGCAGTTAAGTACAACTATACACATACTAAATATTTCTGAAGGAATCAATCTGGCCCAAGTCACTATCCACTGCACACATCTTTTCCATAGAACCTGAGCAATGATCTCTATAATACTCTGACCACGTGGGAGGCCTCTTTCTAAATATGAAAATGTTCTAACCAAACCAAACCTTGCTATGACCTCTATTTTTTTATTCTAAGATAGCAGTGTGGTCTAACTGACCCTAAAATGATTCATTTTGCTATTGAAAGATTAATGATCTCATGATCACCTATATGGTGACCCTAATTATAGGTGACATATATAATACTGTTTTCTCAAGACTGTTCTATTCTCCTGGGAACTTATCTCACAACCATCCAACTGTTAACAGTAAAGTCCGTGTTCTTATAGGACTCTGTCCCCCCTTAGTTTGGATACTTGATGCAAACTAAGCCAGTCAGAATCCTTCCCCCAAAGATGCTTTTCTTAACTGAAACCCAAAAAAAAGAACTCATTCCTCTCAGACAGTAGGAGCCACAACATTACAAGACCCTGGAGTCAATAAGGACCATTCCTAACCCATATGCAGCAAGCCAGACTGTAGTGAGAGTGAAAACTAACAGCCAGAGAACAGTAGAGGTACAAGCCCTGGTAACATTTGATTTTCTTACTCCCAAAGGTTCAGAAGGCCCAATTGTACCAGAGCCCCTCACAGTTTCGTTGTAAAACCCCTTCTTCAATCCAAGACTGACCCAATAAATTTCCTTTTGCAAATAATAATTTAAATGGTGTCTCTGCAGCCACAAGAAGGCCAGGAGAAAAGGCCACAAATGGACTCATCTCTGAGCAATGGGTGAGATAAGGGTACTTTACAGGAAAGAGATGAGGGATGATAAGCCAGTAGGAATATGGATTATGAAAGCTATTGTGGTTCTGGTCGCACAAGCTGATGATGCCTGCAGAGAGTAAACATGAGTGTAACCCTCTGGAGCCACAAAACAGAGTCCGATCCCTCTTATAAATGACAGACTTTCAAACACTCAAATATAGCTAGCAAGTAATTTCCATTCAATTGCCTTATCATTTGATCACTGTCTTCTCGGTGTATTCTAGTTTTTCTTCGTTCATTTTCAAACTGAACTTAAATGAACAGGAGATACATATTTATGTATCTATATGTGTGTTTGCATGCATGTATGTATAGGTGCCCTCTATATTCAGACTAAGGTAACATCAGCATCTGTATTTTTTAAAACTATGTATGGGATTCTAAATTTATCCTTTTAAAAATCTAATCTTTTTTTATTCAATTCAACTTTCCAATTATTTTCAAATTGCTTTAAATAATGATGCCCTTATCTGAACCATTCACAAACATATTCCATAAATATATTTCTTTTTTAAATTAAAGTTTCAATGATATACAATTCTTACATGGTTTCAAAGGTACAACACAGTTATTCAACAGTTACTCATGTTATTAAATCATTACCCTCTCTAGTGTGGTTGCTATCTATCAATGCAGAAAGATGTTATGAAATCATTGACCATATTCTCCATGCTGTACTACCATCACCGTGACCAACTTATATTGTGATTAATATGTTTCTGTTTTTAATTTTAACTATGAAATAAATAGAGGGGTAACATATGAGTAAAACATACAATATGAACATACATACAAACATATAATATGAAACATACATAAAGACATACATATGAACTTATGATATGAAATATCCAGCTGAAAAGTATAATCAATCATTCAAAAGTCTGGTCTTTGTGACATAGTTTTTGGATACCAGAAAACATTGGCCAAACTAGAGGCTTGACATTATTAGATACAATCAATGAAGATGGACTTTTTGACATAAGTTACTACATAGTATATTGAATGAAAGACATGAAAAATCCATACAAAAACATTTTTTAAATGTAAGCTATTGTTGAGAATACATAAAGCATGATGAAAAGAGATGTACTATGGTCTTAGACTTCAGAATACCCCCAATATTATAAAGGCCTTAACCTTCAACATCAACTACCATAATTAGGAACAACTATCTCTTGACTAAAATGTTGCTATAATATCACTATGAGAGAACAAATATATTGCTAATATCTACTGTTCACAAAGAAGTTGCACATACAACATCTTATTTGATGCTTACAACAACTCAGTGAGATAGTGCTAATGATATTATACAATTATCCTTATTTTCAAAAAGGTAAACAGAGACTGCAGAAGGTTATTAAGACCTGTTTAAGTCAAACAGCTGCATGTGGCAGGTCGTTAGATTATAAATCCCATGCTGTAACAGCTTGAAGAAACACTTTGAGAAAAAAGTTGGTAGCATGAGAGGTGAGACAGAAACCTCCTTCCCAAACCACATATAATAAGAAAATACAGAAAATACAACTAACCTTAAAGAGCAACAGGAAAGAAGACTGAGACAGACTGCCTAAATCTGTGGAAAAGAGCATATCTCACAGAAAAGGGTAAAGTACTAAAGCCACGATCTGGTGGTACCCAAGCCTGTCCCTCACCCCAGCTCATAGGGAGGAGGAAGACAAATGGAGCGAGGAGGAGGTGGAGGCCTAGGACTGCTGAACCCCCAGCCCTGGAGATCTGCTCTGGGAGCACAAACCTACATTACATGATGCTTAACAGCAAGAAGCTGAAAGCTTTTCCATTAAGATTGGGAATAAGATAAGGATGCCCACTCTCCCACTTTTACTCAACATAGTTCTGGAGGTCCTACCCACAGTAATCAGACAACACAAAGAAATAAAACGCATCCAGATTGGTAAGGAAGAAGTTAAACTGTCACTGTTTGCAGATGACATGATATTGTACATAAAAAACTCAAAAGAATACACTCCAAAACTACTAGAATATCTGAATTCAGCAAAGTTGCAGGATACAAAACCAATATACAGAAGTCTGTTGCATTACTATATAATAATGATGAACTAACAGAAAGAGAATTCAGGAAAACAATTCCATTCACAATTGCATCAAAAAGAATAAAATACCTAGGAATAAACCTAACCAAGGAAGTGAAAGACCTATACTCTGAAAACTACAAGACATTCATGAGAGAAATTAAAGAAGACACCAATGAATGGCAATAAATCCCATGCTCATGGATAGGAAGAATTAATATTGTCAAAATGACCATCCTGCCTAAAGCAATCTACAGATTCAATGCAATCCCTGTCAAAATACCAATGACATTCTTCAATGAACTAGAACAAATAGTTCTAAAATTCATATGGAACCACAAAAGACCCCAAATAGGCAAAGCAATCCTAAGAAGGAAGAATAAAGCTGGGGGATTACGCTCCCTGACTTCAGATTCTATTACAAAGCCACAGTAATCAAGACAATGTGGTATTAGCACAAGAACAGACCCATAGATCAATGAAACAGAGTTCAGATATAAACCCAAACATATATGGTCAATTAATATACAATTAATTAATGGTTTATACAATGGGTTAATGACAGCCTCTTCAACAATTGGTGTTGGCAAAACTGGACAAGAATGTGATGTTGGCTGTGGGTTTGTCATATATGGCCTTTATTATGTCAAGGCACTTGCCCTCTATACCCATTTTGTTGAGAGTTTTTATCATGAATGGATGTTGAATTTTGTCAAATGCATTTTCAGCATCTATGGAGATGACCCTGTGGTTTTTGTCTTCTTTTGGTTGATGTAGTATATGATGCTGATGGATTTTCAAATATTGCACCACCCTTGCATCCCAGGAATAAATCCTACTTGATCATGATGGATGATCTTTTCGATGTATTTTTAAAATTTTATTTGCTGATATTTTGTTGAGTATTTTTGCATCTATGTTCATCAGGGATATTGGTCTGTAATTTTCTTTTTTTGTGGTGTCTTTGCCTGGTTTGGGTATTAGAGTGATACTGGCCTCATAGAATGAGTTTGGAAGTATTCTCTTCTCTTCTACTTTTTGGAAAATTTTAAGGAGGATGGGTATTAGGTCTTCACTAAATGTTTGGTAAAATTCAGCAGTGAAACCATCTGGTCCAGGTGTTTTGTTCTTAGGTAGTTTTTTGATTACTAGTTCAATTTCATTGCTGGTAATTGGTATGTTCAGATTTTGTTTCTTTCTGGGTCAGCCTTGGAAGGTTGTATTTTTCTAGAAAGTTGTCCATTTCTTCTAGGTTATCCAGTTTGTTGGCATATAATTTTTCATAGTATTCTCGAATAATTCTTTGTATTTCTGTGGTGTGCGTAGTGATTTTTCCTTTTTAATTTTTGATTCTGTTTATGTGTGTAGACTCTCTTTTTTTCTTGATAAGTCTGTCTAGGGGTTTATCTATTTTGCTTATTTT